ATGGGAAACTCCCTGCTTGAGAGCACGGGGGCAGAAAGGGATCTTGGAGTCATTATTGACTCCAAGATGAACATGGGCCAGCAATGCGAGGTCACAGTTGGCAGGGCTAACCGGACCTTGTCGTGCATCCACAGGTGCATCTCAAGCAGGGCCAAGGAGGTGATCCTCTCCCTCTATGCAACACTGGTCAGGCTGCAGCTGGAGTACTGCATCCAGTTCTGTGCGCCGCACTTCAGGAGGGATGTGGACAGCATTGAGAGGATCCAGAGGAGGGCCACCTGCATGATCCGGGGACAACAGGGCAGACCCTACATTGAGAGACTGCGGGACCTGAACCTGTTCAGGCTTCACAAGTGAAGGCTGAGGGGGGACCTGGTGACCATCTATAAACTCACTAGGGGGGACCAGAAGGGTTTGGGGGAGACCTTGTTTCCGCTAGTGCCCCCTGGCATAACAAGGAATAACGGCCACAAGTTGTTGGAGAGGAGGTTTAGATTAGACATCCGTAAGAACTACTTCACAGTCAGGGCGGCTAGGAGCTGGAACCAGCTTCCAAGGGAAGCGGTCCTGGCTCCTACCCTGGGGGTCTTTAAGAGGAGGCTTGATGCCTACCTAGCTGGGATCATTTGAGCCAGTTTTTTTCTCCTGCCCAGGCAGGGGGTCGGACTTGAAGATCTACAAGGTCCCTTCCAACCCTACTTCTGTGATTCTATGATATATGACTCCAACCTCCCCTTACCATATTCCATGCCTTGCAGATGTTTTGTGGCCTTGCACCCGGCCTTAACCAATTATCCTAATATACTCAGTGCTCCCAGGCCCCACACTGGGCCTCTGAGCCTGCACACACTGGGCATCTGAGGCCATTGATGGGATCGGGGCTCTGAGCCCTGTCCCGAGCCTCCTTGGGCCTGAGCCTGGGAGCTTCCTTAATAGCTCCCCAAGACTCAGGGCCCCACCCTGCAGGAGCCTTATCCGGCTCCCTTGAGACCACCGGCTCGTTTGTGAGCCTGGGTACTGCCACAGATCTCTCCACCTGGCCTGGGCCTTGCCTCAGTGCTCACAGTGAGCCTGGGCTCCCCCTGTAGAGATCTACAGCCACCACGGATGTGGGGTTGAGGTTAAAAGGTTCCCCATGCTCGCTTTTCACTGGGGTGGTAACTGGCCTGGCATTTCTGCCAGAGATAGTCCCACCAGGCCATCCATCCCCGTCAG